AAAACTAATATTATAGATAGTTTTTGAATGAATAAAAGTTCCACAGGAGCTCTCAAATATATTTAGAATTAACAAGTTTTTATCACCATTTTAAGACATATTTTCTGGCTGTGTTACAGCATCCCCATCAACGACAACATCCCAGCAACATGAAGGCGACGCTGCCAACAAATCGCTGGCGAAAAATGTGCGCGCGATAAATTTATGTTGGCAACATCAAATCGACGTAAATTACGCGACGCCTGGTTACCAGGCTCTGCGACTGATGCCAGTTAGCCGGGCGGCGCTTTGGCTGTTAAATTCTTGGCCTGGCTAAGAGGGGGCTGAGCCATCTGCAATCGTGGCCCGGAGACTGGGCCAGTTCGGGGCAAAAGACGTAGTGACTCTGGCAACACATTAATTCACGCGTACTTAACACGACCACGCGGGACCTGTTGCTGCTGTTCCCGATGTTGCTGCGGCAATTGTTGCAGTTGCTGCTGCAGGTTGTCATCCCATCTGTAATACAAACGCATGCCTTGGATTGGAGGGGGGAATAGAAGTGATGCTGGCGGCAAATTGCTGTTTGTAATTGATTTAAATACGTTGACGCTGAGTGGCAAATAACTCAGGCCTGAGAGTCGAGTTGATTATATGGCCGGGACATTGCTGCTTAATTGCTGCCACAGCCCCCAGGACCGCCAGACCGCCAAACCGCCAGACCCCCAGACCAGAACTTTCCCAAATTGCTCTCTCTTGATTCCAAAGTTAAATCGGCTTTATCATTATCCGATGCGATGCGAGGCTGGCGTGAAAGCAAACAACGGCGGAACAACAGTCGCCAATTATCGTTTTGATTAATGCTCGCTGCCAAAATGGATTTTCATAAGCGCTTTTCACCATTTCTTCCCATCAATTATCATAAATACAAACAAATTTGCAATAAACTGCACAGCACGCAGCGGTGAAGGCAATTTTCCAGCCGGGTTAAAGGCAAACAGCCATTCGGCGGGCACAACAACAACGCAGCAAATGCCGCAGCAGGATCAGCAACATTACTACCAGGACCAGGAACAACACCACTAACAACTTCAATTACAATCACGTCAACATCATTTTCAACGCAACGAGATATATTTCTATTAGCCGAATTAATGTCAGCATAATTAATCACATCCAATAATGTTCAGTGACCAGGCACAACGACAGGCAACATCAGATGCTCGGATCCTCAGGGTCAACGCAGTTCGTGTTGCACCTTTTTCCCCCCCGGGAGAGTGGAGACCGAAGACCTTCACACTTTTGTTTATTGGCCACAATGCGTAGGTTGTAGCCAGGGGCATTTTATATGGCTTGGACTGGGACTTGGGACTGGGACTGAGCTTGGGATCCCCTGCTAATGCAATTTGATTGTTGGCCCGGCCAAGACGAATCTGTTACCCAGATAACGCTGGCAGATTCATAATTGCAAAAAGCTGGAGGAGAGATATACATATGCCTGGGAAATTGCCGGCACTCGGACTTAAGGTGCACCACACCATAATTTGTCTCCAGCTGATTTTCAGGCATTTCCACGCCAGATTCTGGATCAACGATTTTCGCTAAGCTCTTGATTTATTTGGCATAATTTTTTTATTGGCAGTTTCGGCACGTTGATGGCTATCAATTTGCACAAATTAAAATTTAATTGCAAATTTATGGCTTTTAATTTACTTATCGTTTGATTTATGCCCCAACCCCAGCTCCAGCTCCAACCGAAATAATTTTTATGATTTAAAGCTCAGCCAGCCACTGCAGCGCAGATTTCAGATTTCGTTTATTTTTCTCTCCACTTTATTTGATTTTATTTTGATTTTTATATTTTTTTTTTGGTGGTCCAGTTAACTGCACTTAGAATAGCTAAGAGACAAGCAATTTAACTGAAATTAATTGCAAGCTTTTTACATTTTTTATTTCGTTCATTTTGTGTTGATAAAAAAGCCGTCCTACTTGAGCCCGATTAGCCGAAGCGGAAGTGGCATGTCAACGTGTCACTTAAGCCAAAGGCTGTAAAAATAAAACTAAATCAAATCAAAGTATGTACTCTCGCGCACACATAAAATGTAAATGCAATTTGCAAATTTTACTTGCATTTTTCTAACAATCTTCCAATTTATACGAGAGCCTCCAACTGAAAATTATTCAAAGGCAAAACGATAGAAGGCACCTCCACCACAACTGCTGGCCGAGGCCAGGGCGATTGTTTTTGGGCCAGGCCCAGATCACTGGACCATTGCCACCAGCAGCTACCTACCTACCGGAGCAACTGCAGCAGCAGATGGAAAAATGCAACAATAAATCTCATTTTATGCAGAGCGCACAGCCAACGGCCCTTTTATAGGTAACACTAATGTGGCCCAAAATTGAACTTGACATTTGAATGCCCAATTAACCATGACGTCGAGCGGAGCCGAGAGACCCGACCAGGGCGTCCTGGACATGTCCGCCAATATCCAATGTCCAATAACCAATGCCAATGCCCAAGACCCCTGCTGCCGCTGCCTTTTCAGGTCAAGTTTTTGGGCATTCCGATGCGTTATGCCGGTGCCCGCTTTATTGGAGCAATTGGGGTCTGGTGGGGCCTCCTCCTGCTTCCTGCTAATTAACCCAAATTCCCGCACGGTCGGATATTTCTTTGCTTCTCTTCAGAGCTGGCTCTTACTCTGGCTCTTCTCTATCTCAGCCATTGCAATCGCCGTGGTAAACCTTGGTCTGTCATAAAATGTTGAAGGAACTTGGCCTATGGTCAGATATGTTGAATACTCTTTTAGTTTAAGAATTTTCCTTTGTATATTCTTTACATTCTTTACATTTTGCAGTATGAATGTCTGGTATTCCTTAAGACAATTTTAATATATTTTAAGGAAACTTTTAAGCTTAAATCATATGAAACTGTAATTCTAAATATTATATAAAAGTCAGATCATTCGGGGTTTGAATCATACTGTAGAACCCTGATCTTTAACTCCCTGAAAATATTTTTCCCATTTATCAAAAGGGTATTCCCTCGTTGAAATACTCATGTGCCAGACTTATTTTACTATTTCGATGCGAGTGGAATTCTCACGCGGAGGCTGGTCGCCAGTTCACGCAAAGGCAGCTTTTTTCGGCCAGTCTCAGCCTGGCCTGGCTGGGGATGATTATAAAATTGCGATAAATATTTATACCGCTCTTAGATTTATGGTGATTCATATCACCAGACGTAAGAGGATGGGGAATCGTCGCTGCCATCGCTGGCATCGGGTAACAGGTAACGTTCATAAACATTTTTATTAGCAATAATTGCACAATTTTCCATGTGGTTCATTTGCGTGTACGACCCACAAAATAAAAAAAACAGCACTGGGCAAGTCAACTGTCATCAATCATAAAGTGGCGAGAGATTTTGCCTGGCCGATAAGCCATCATCTCGGACTTCAACTTCCTGGCCTTGGCAGCCCCAAGGGTCACTCAAATGACCATAATTGCCAAGTGTCGGCCAAGAGTGGCGAGATAAAAAAAGAGTCAAATGCCACATTTAAATAATTCGAATTATGTGCAATCAATTCGGTTAAAGGTTTACCCTGGTTTCCCGGCCAAATTGTCATGGCCGCAAGCCGAACTCTAAACTTAACTGTATTTATTAATAATTTATATTATTTGTTTATAGAAGGCCGGCCAAAGCGAAGGCCACTGCGGCTGCTCACTTTGTTAATGCTGTGCCATAACTTAATGGTCGATTTGCTTTCAAATCAGAACCCTAGGGACACGCTATTAGCTGGCATTGAAAATAATATCTGATTTATTTGGCATTTTCAACTGAAAATGTATAATTTCTGTATTTACTTTTATTATAACTTTGCCAATAAAAATAGTTTGCTTAGAATTTCAACCAACACCTCAGCAAGTTTCTGATGGAACTTAAAGCTTTTTCACACAAACAAACTTCCAAGAAAGTCTATTATTATTATTTTTATAAAGATACATTTTTATATATATTAATGTGACAGATTTAGCTGCAAAATTCTGTTGAACTTAGCCAGTTTCTGCCATAAAATAATTAAACAAAATTGAACTGCATTTATTAGTCACTTAACAAGGAAAAAAGTCAACTACATTTTCGTGTGTAATTGGGCTCTGCCGGTCCCGGTCTCCTGAGGTGACTGCTAAGTGTTTTGTCTTGTAATTTACAAATGCAAAATAGCCGAATGTGACAAAATGCAGTCGCCTGGCAATTTATCGTGTTGCCTGGCATTGCCTGGAATCGGCGGGCACCCTCCCCTCAAAATCCTCTCTCCGCCGGGAGCCAAAAAAAACTAGTTTACGCATTTTGCGTGTGCGCTCAGTCAGCATTGATATCGATGTGAATTTATATTTATGGGCCTAGCCGGGCGTGGCCTTGATCTAGAATTTCAGTTGTGCCGAGCGTTTTTCCGATGTTTTCATTTTCATTTTCATTTTCATGTTCGTTACGGCAACGCACCACACGGCGTATGTGTGATGTGATCTCCAAGCGATCTCAGGCGATCTCGGGCGATCTCAGGTGAGGTAAGGTGATGTTTCGGTGTTCACTTGCGTAATCTCGTATCGGGGTGCTAAGTACCGGTTTAAACTCTCGGCCCGGACAAGTCAACTTGGCTAGTTTTATTTTATTTTTATACTTTATGCATTTGAACTGAAGCGTCGTGGAAACGCGTGCGATTATTTTACTCATTTTTCGTCGCCGTACGAGCATATCTTTCTGCACTTGTAATTTATTGGGAAATTTAATTGAATTCGCATGCTCGCCAACCGGTCGCATAATTTTTGTCCCCCGATTACACACTCATTGAGCAATCGGGCCCGTTTTTTCGCTTTCCACAGCTAATCACACAATTCACACAGTTGGTGGAAAAGATAATTCTCATAGAAACAGATTCTCAGATGTTTTTACTATGCCTGCTTGGCTTTGGGATAACTATAAAGCACAGAGCTTGGGTTCTTGGTCAGTCAGTAAGTGAGAGTTGAAGAACAAAAATATGATTTGCCTGCGTTTAGCTGTATTAATTGTCCTCTTCCTGGCATTCGTTTCCAGCTTTGATGATATGGAAACACTGCACGAGCAGTATTTGAACGAGCAAACAAAAATTCGCAAAGGTTTGATTGTTTTTAAACCAAAATGATTTCAAGCATAAACCATTTTCCCCCCAGAGATCTGCGTTTTGAAGCCGGAGTACGGCAAGTGCAAGGGACGCCGTAGCCTGTGGTACTTTAATAACCAGTATGGCAAGTGCCAGACATTCACCTATTCCAACTGCGGCGGCAATCGGAACCGATTCTACACTAAGGAAGCCTGCATAGACTTCTGCGATAGATTCGATTGGAAGGCTGAAAACCTAAAACGCTTTAACATAAAGGCAGTTCTCCCTAACACAGCTAACCCGGCGCAATAAATGAATCTCTAAGAAACTGCTTAATGTTCACTTCACAATTTTAATAAAAATGTGTTTTATAATCTATAAAATAATCGATAAAGGATTTTATTTATGATTCAAAAATATTTTTTGTTATTTTGTTTTGTCCATTAACAAGCTCAAAGTTATTTCATTTTCTAGGGAAATAATGCGGTAAATTATATTCTTAATATTCATATAGGTATAGTAAACCAAAACACCTTGCCATTATTTTGAAACGTGGTCAGGGTATAAATAACCAATCAACTGATTTACTCAACTTCAGTTGGCTTTTCAAGTTTAAGATGAAAGTACTTATAATTTTCCTGAGCTTTGTGCTCGTTTTGGTGACAGCTGAGCCATGTAAGCTATTAACCTGATGATGGTTGATCTCTATGTGACCCGATTCTTGCAGATTTTTGTTCTCTGACGCCCTCCTATGGCAATTGCAAAGAAAATTACACGATGTGGGCCTATTCAGAACGCGACAACGCATGCTTCATCCATATCTACTCGGGTTGTGGCGGCAATCACAACCGCTTTATGGACGAGGAGTTATGCATCGACACCTGTATAAATCCATATAACTTGGATGTAGAATGATATTCCAGTGAGCAAAAAATGACTTTAAAAACACAAAACAATGTTTCTAAGTAAGGGTCATTTGTCCAATAAAGAAGCATGTAAATATAACTTTGATGATGATGATGCAACTCCACGAGTGAAGGCGATTTAAAAATATTACTAGCTGTTTTTGTTTTCATTTATAACATAAACAATTATAAGTAAATGTTGCTTATAGCTGAATGTTTTTGTTAGTTTAAATGAATTTGTAATTACTTTCTTTGGTTCGCCTCACATATCTTTATGGTCAGAAACACATTTCCATTGTTTTGAGTGGCGATTGGTATAAATATCCATAGAACAGATTCTCAGTGTTAGTTGGCTTTCGAAGTTGGAAATGAAACTAGTCTTTCTCCTGTGTATGAGCTTTGTGCTCGCTTCGGCAAAAACTCTTCCGGGTATGTTACTAACCTGAAGTTGGCGATTGGTCTCTGACATGATCCTTGCAGAGCGCTGTTACCGGATAGCGTCCTACGGAGATTGCGATGAATATCATCCAATGTGGGCCTACTCGCAGTTCGAAATGAAGTGCTTTCGGTTTGATTACTCGGGTTGTGGCGGCAATAACAACCGTTTCAACTCCCAGTCTGAGTGTCAAAGGAGTTGCTATGAAAAAAGTGAAACAACAACGACGACGGTTTCGACAACGACAGAAAAGACAACGTTTCCTTCGGAGTTTTATTGGTAGAATTGTGCAATGTACAAGTTCTCGTTTCGTATTCGTTTTTAGCAAAACTTATTACAATTTGCTAGCCCTAAATAAAATCCTTGCTTCCAATATCTCATATTTATACTAAAATATATTTTGAAAAACATTGAGGCGACTTGAGGCGGAAATAAAAAACGTTCTACTCAAGGAATGAGTGTCCTTTGATTTGCTCTTTGATGAATATAATCCTTGCCATCTTTATGTTAAAGTTTGTCTCGTAATTGGGAGAGTAACAAATAATTTTAAATACATAAAAATGAATGAATAATCAATAATTTCAATTTTGTTTGTCCAATATAAATATTACCTTTGAATAATAAGTAGAAAAGTTGATGTAATACTTAAATAGCTTACATTTTTAACAGCTTATTACAAGGAAAAGGCGCTTTAAAAATAGTTACAAATATTTGTGGATGTTTATGATACTTTAAATGAGTTTTATGTACAAGAACACATTTCAATTATTATAGTTGGTAGTATAAATATCCACTTAAACTATTCTCAGTTTTAGTTGGCCTTCCAAGTTAGAAATGAAATTAGTTCTCATTTGTATGAGCTTTGTGCTCACTTTGGCGACAGCCCTTGACTGTATGTTATTAATTTGAAGCTGACTTTTGGTCTCTGACAAGATCCTTGTTGCAGTTCGCTGTTACCGGCTAGTCAAGTACGGAGATTGCAAAGGACACTATAAGCAGTGGTCCTTCAGGCCGTCCGATAAAAAGTGCATTGAGTTTGATTACTCGGGTTGTGGAGGCAATGGCAATAGGTTCTGGACCGAGTTCGAGTGTGTGTGGTATTGCTATGCACTAACGATCGCTACTGCTCCTCCGCGTTCCTATCGAAATTTTTATTATTAGTATTTTTAATAACTTTCGGGAAACAAAACAGATGTTTAATATAATTAAAAAAACGGAGTAAAAATTGTATAAATACGGAGTGAAATGGTTTACTAAAAGTCAGTTTAAATTACGAGTTGAAAAAGTAAAGTATGAAAGGACACTGCGCTTTTCTTGGCCTTTTGCTGGCTCTTTTGATGGGACAGTCGTCTACTCTTGTCTACAGAAATCGTAAGGACCTTCAGTGGTTAGGAACAAACAATATTTCAACCATTTCTTGCAGCTGATTGCTACCAATTGACGGATTACGGCACCTGTCAGGGGTATCATATACGGTGGGCATATTCAATCCACGACCGCAGATGTGTCATGTTTACCTACTCTTCGTGTGGCGGCAATTCAAACCGCTTTTCTACCAAGGAAGATTGTGAAATGGCTTGTAGTTGATGGATTGAAAATATTTTTAATAAATGCCAGCGATTTTGCAAAGCTTTTTTCCCACTTGAAACGCTCGCGTTTTGACCATTTTTTAGAGCACGCGTTTTGTTGGCGTCTGGCGGTTTTTTTGGTACAACTCGTAGCAGGCGCTCAGAGACGGGAAAAGCCCCGAGCCAAGCAGTGGGAGTAAAGAGCTTTTCCCCAGCTTTGGGTCAATTACTGAGGGGCACACACACTCGCACACTCGCACATCCCGCAGGGGCGGAACTTGGCAATTTGCGATTGTCAAGGGCTGGGCAAATATTCGTTGCTTGCTGGCATTTCGGCCAGGCCAACAGAATTGGTAGCAGCGAAATGAAAGCTCGCCTGAAAAGTTTGTTGGCCAGATATGCGTTGTTCTCTCTCATTTTTTTTTTATATTTATTTTCTTTGTATTTATTGTTGCTTGGTTTGGTTGTGCGCCGTTAGAGGCATAAATCACCGATGAGGGGCCAAAATGTGCAAGTTTACAGGTTGACTCAACGATGGTACGCAAAAAGCACATTACCAGAATAGCAATCGCAATGGCCAATGCCAATGTCGAATGGTGAATAGCGAATAGCAAATAGTCGAATGGCGAAATCAAAGAATAAAGTCACGCAATTTCAATTACAAATAAACGCACAGACGGAGAAATGGCCAGTGACTAGTGGGGGGGCAGCGAGGAGGGAAGCTGGGGTCCTGATGGTGACTATATATACGTATTGCGATAGCTATAGTAATAATAATAATAATGAAATTGTGATAAGCTGCGCGCCACAAATTGCAGCGAGTGAGACGGCAAGACAATAATTTAAACCGTTAAGCGCAAGGCGAAGCATCAAATGCTGCCGCCCAGAGATGAGTGCGTGATACGAGTATCTAGATACATTTTAAATTTAAATTTCAAATTTAAAGAAATGGTAATATATTTAAGAATATTTTCTGAAAGAAAGAGGTAGCGAGAGAGCTTCTTGCTTTAGGTGTCAAGGGTAGGGATGCTGGAAAGTAATTAAATATCAATACTGTATCTAGATTTCACGTGAATGTCGATATATAAGACGATTTTTAATCAATAGACTCTTGTGCTCGACATATTATAATATCGAAATCCACATAGAATAATTTTTACAACATTTTCAGAAGATTTATTTCTGTTATGAGCATATTTTAAAGTCTAAGGTCCATTTTCAATATTTAAACTTTTGATGTATGAAACTATTTGATATTTTTGATATAATAAGATATATATATTTTTATATTAAATGCCTCTTGGCTTAGAATGAAGCCTACCGTGACACGCCAAAAACACGACTTCTCCCAGAGACACCTCTACGATGTCCGATGCAAGACGCTACTCACATTGAAGCCGCCTCAAGACGTCGTCATTCTGGCTGGTTGGATTGGAGTCTTGGCCTATCGGATGTCTGGCAGCATTTGACGCATGCGCTTTTTGTGGCCAGCAACATTAGGCCGAGCTGCGCTTCGGCGTTCGCCAATGCCAATTAATATTCGCATGATCAAATGGTTAACGCATTTAGCCGTATAAAAAACCAACAAGACAACGCGCCAAGCAGCACTGCAAACCGGCTCACATTAAATTCGCATTTACGCGTTTGCCTTTGTGTAACTGATCGCGGCCATCTCTCTCTCTCTCTTTCTGTGGTCAAGATCTTCAGATCCCGAGATCCACGGACTTGGCCTGTGGGAAAGTCGGCCTTAATTGACATCCACGAGGCGTTTAAAATGAGGCCTGTTAATTATGTATTTATTTAGTATTTTCTGTCACTTTTTCGGTTTTCCATTCCATTGCAATTATAATTTTCATTCTTCGGATCCTAAACACTTAAAAATTTGGAATTTATCAATTTGTTGTGTATATATATTGGTTTTGTTAAATTTCATTAGTTATGGGCTAGGCTGGTTGAGTACGACTTTGTTGTATACATAGCTTAATAAAATTGATTTATTTACCGTGTGCGTGTCTATGGCATAACAAACTGCTGCCCAGAGAATCGTATTGGATTAAGATGAGTTTATTTGGTATTTATCTTCGATTTGTATTGAGTAGGTAGGTACTTAATGGAATCCGTTGTACCACAAGCAGGCTAACATTTAAAGCGTTTGCATACATCGATAGAGAAGGGTCTTAATTGAGAGTAAAATATGTGGTATTAGGTAAACCAAGTCAAACGAATGGTTTTAACAACAACAAGGCCTGGCCTTAAATTAAATAAGAAAACATTTACCATCGAGTAAATGCAAATACACAAGTGATTTTTGATAAATGCTTACGTAACAACTAAGGGACTAGTTAAAAGTTCTCTTAAAAATTCGTAAAATATTCCCCAAAAGCATATACATATAAAATGCAGCCGACTCATCATCAGCTCGATGTAATCAATTGATTTTTACGATTTTGTAAGCAACAACTTGCTTATAACTTGATGCGTTGTCTGTCCTTTGATTTGATTCGATTCGCTTAAATAGTCAATTAAAAATTATATAACAACACGCATACATATCAATATTGGAGTTAGTCGTATGTATATATGTATATAATATGTAGTAAATGTGATTAGCCAATAGGTTATAGATCTGTACGAATGCGGGATATGATTTAGCATTGCTTTTATCTCAATTCAATCCTTGCCCTATATGAAACATGCAGCGTTCAACATCAATAAAATTGTATAATAAGCCAATATTTTTTAATTTTTTTGCTCCTTTGCCAAACGTGATTTTCCTTTCCCTTGTCTATGAGTTAAAAATTTGCTAAAACATTTTCATTAATTATTGTTTTTACCCGCCCCACGTAAATGCAATATTTTAATATGTTTTCGAGTTTGAGAGGCAATCGCTGCCCTGCAAAATGGTCTAATGATAATTCTTCCTTGCAAAATGTTCAATTCAATTATAAACTCGATTTGAAAGGATAGCTTTCGGTTATTTCTGGAAGTAACGAAGCTCTAAAAAAGCCTTCATTGGTTGTTGGTGCATTTCTCTTAATTGGAAAAAATTGTGCCTTTTGTTGATTGTGTGAGTCTTTTTGTTCGTTTCATTTTGTAGTTGATCTTTGGCCATTCAAATAGTTAAATAAATACAAAAACCCATTCCCTTCGTATAAAAGTCAAATGCGCGAGGCCTACAAACTACTAGTTGCCCTAGAAAAAGTCCTTCGTCTAACTACAACTTGAACATAGCCCCGTAGTTGCTGAGGCATAATAGTTTGGCGCAGAGGCTGCGACTCCGACTGTGACTGCGACCGAGATTGTGACTGAGACTGTGACCTGGCCTGAGTGGCGCCGGCGGTGCTATCGCCGGTGGTAGTTGCTCTCCTGGGGCCTGAACCGCGGCCAGGTCCTCACTCTATTTCCCTCCACAGTACTCGCCCTGCAGCATTCCATTATCCAGGACCAGGGCTGGCGTATTGGAGATCCCGTCTCGCAGCGCCAGCTGATAGGCCACCTCGAAGGCTTGGCCAAGAGTCAGGATAATCTCGCTGGCCAGATTCTGCGGAATATGAAAAGATCTCATTACCATGTTCCCTGGCCGCATCCTGGGCATAGTACTCACTGTGCTTTGGACCAGGAAGACATGACAGTAGTGCAGATCCTGTTCCTTGGTGATGTAGGCAAAGTGCCGCAGATCCTCGGAATCCTGGCAGGCGCAATTGATGTTCTGTATCTCATGCTCGCAGATAGTGCGCTGTAAGGGTTATAAAATCTGTTAGATAAGATTTCAAAGTCTATAATCTTGGTGACCTACCTTACTGTTCACATCAATAAACTCCACCCCGCGATGGCAAATGGACAGCGAGAGTGCTGAGCCCGATTTAGCCTCACTTTCCGCTGAGGATTTCAGCTTTTGTATGGACTTCTTGGTGGACTCTGTGCCACGTAGTTCTTTCACAACCGTTGAGCCGAGGTACTGTTGTGGGCAAAGAAACAAAATAGAAGAATTTAGAATAAATTCTTTAAATGTAAACAATGATAAATCCCCTCACCTGAACCTCGTAATTGATGTGCTCATTGAGCAAAGTCTGCGCCGAGTGACGCCATTCGGTGGTCCTTAGATTGGCCGGCAGGCCCAGGAGCAGCTCTGAGGGAGCTCGTATTTGGAGAGCAGCTGTCTTTCTCGCCGGCGGAGCAGGTGGTGGCGGTGCAGGTCTTAAGAGTTCATTTATTAGATATTATAAATATTATAAATCATATATATATCTCACCTGCTCTTGCGATAGCCCGTGATGGAGTTGCGGTGCTGAACAGGATTTGCGGGATTTCGTGGTGCCACCACCTCCTTCACCGTTCCATTGCCGTTAGTTGCCAGCTGATTGGTTTCGTTGTTCTCGCCCAGCGGCGTCTTCAGCGACTTGGAGTCGCTGTCACGCATCTGGCGGATGTAGGCTAGCGACTGCAGGATGCGTCTGCGATGACCCAGCTTGTTGATCTCCAGCACCGTCTGCAGCTCCACATCCCACACCCCGCACACGCTCTCAATGGTATTGTACAAATGTTTGCTGCAAACATAAATTATAAAATAAAATAACAAAGTATTTTATTTATAATTTGTATAAAACTTACTTAAAGAATTCTAGGTACTCGGGAAGGGCAATGCTGTGAAGCCACTGCTGCAAGGAGGTGACTCCCAGCTGCTTGTTCTCCTGCTGCGTCTTGGGCGGCACCTGCGGCAGGAACTCCGCCGGCGGCAGGCTCTGGACAAAGCGCAACAGCTTGGGAGCATCTCGCTCGGGAATGTGGAGCAGTGGAATATCCGGCTCTTCAAAGACATTGTGCTAAAGGAAAAGGACTCTGACATTAGCTTCTTGAGAACCCTATAAATTCATTCCGAAACCCACCACAAATTTGTAGTTATCGTAGCCGTTCTCGAAGAGCATCCTCTCCAGGTGAAGCAATCCCGCAGCACGGAGGCGCGTGGCCAGTTCCCGTCGCTCGTTGGGCACCTCCATGTCCTCGAAGTCCAGCTCGATGTCGTGGGTGGGTGTGATGCTAGTGTTGAGGATTCCGCTGCCAAAGTTCTCAATAATCTCAGAGATCTTCTTGCGTGCCTCCTCCGCATTAAAGGGACTCAAAAGATTTATGGAATTGCGGGCTGCCGAGTGACCGCTTCCAGGGGATTTTGCCGGAGACTTAGCTGGCGATTTTAAAGAGGATTTCGTGGGAGATTTTGAAGGGGATCTTGGAGGTTTGATGGCTGTCTCAGTGGCAGCATTGCCATTGGCCTCCACGGGTTGCAGCTGCTGTTGATTGGTCGGCGTCGTTGGCGGCTTGACGAACTTTCTCTCCGGCACCGTGGGCTTGTTAGGAATGGGCGGACGCACCCGGGGAATACTCTGCTGCTGCTGTTGCGGATTAACCTCCTCCTCTATTTTCACCTGCACTTCGCACTGCTCTTTAAGCTGGGAGGCTCCCTTAAGCAAACCTGCAAAGGGCACGTCGCTCACGAACTCCTCCACGTAGTCCGTGGAATGCGAGAGGCTGTGATCCGAGCATGAGATGCTGGAGCTCAGGGAACCGGAGGAAGGAGCCGGGCAGCGGGGCACCACTGTCACGGTGTCATCGTAGTCGTATCCGGGCGTACTCAGCGTAGGTAGTAGCTTTGATGGCGATGACCCCGTCTCAATCATTAGCTGCTGGGCTGCCTGCAGCTGGAGCAAGGCGGATCGACGCTTATACTCCTGGCTGAGAGGCCTGATCCGCTCATGGATTGTCCGCTCTGCCTGGCTAGAGCTGGGCGGCGGATGGTCGGGCGTCGGTGGTTGCTTGTAATGAGTGGGACTGCTGGGTATCTGCTGCTTGGGCTCACAGTTTTCCTCGCCGCCGTTGGATTTGTTGGCCGCATTTGCACCGCTGAAAATGGGCGATTAATATATATTAATATACAATATTTAGTTTATATAAAGTGAACTTCTAGGCCTAGTGTAAAAGCCAATTACATTTTTTACACCAATTTTAATGTTGGATACTTTAAGAATGACCTCTGGTTCTGGTTTAAAGTATTTTTATTTTTTGCGGTTTTCAATTTATTTCTTAATGAAAAGCTTAAGGAATATCGATTAATCTTTACTATATAGTTTTTTTATGTAATTTTCCATAAATATAAACCAAGTTATAGCTGCTTACCGCAGTTAAGCAACGAGCATAATTAAATCTACATGGTGTTTCGGGTCATCCAGCTGGTTTTATTTTCGTTATTACTTTTTTGTATTTACCAATTTAAAGTACACCACATTTTATGGAACATAATAAATATTTTTATAGCCACTACCGAACTGTTAGGTAAGAAGCAATTTCGGTTTTAAGGCAGCAAACAAAGTTTTTATAGCGAATATTTTTATATGGCGACTATTGATTCCAATCCTATTTTATTTTATAAACGTTGCTCACCTGCTGTTTCGATTTCGCTTGAGTTTGCGATTAGGATTATACGACTTGAGGGTGGCGTTTTCCGCTGACTTCAAGAGCTCCTTGGACAGCTTGGTTGTTGCACTGCGAGGAGCGGGAATTGGTCGTTTCATGGAGTTGGTGGCCGGAGCCGGTGATTCTCCGCTGGAATTGGGCACACTCGTCTCGCTGTTCAGCTCCGAGCTACTGCACTGCCGATCCAGCATGTCATCTAAGGAAACAACTCTTAGAAAAGTTTAAATTATAAAAAAATATCTAGTTCTTACTGCTTGAACTGAGACTCATTCCGCCGGCTATGGCGGAACGGGTGCTCTGCCTGGCGCTGGCATACAAGCGATCGCTCCTCTGTCGCTCTCGCAGCTGGGTCTCGTCAAAGCTCATGCCCCCCACACTACCGTGGCTCTGGTGCGAGTACGGACTATCGCTGGGCGGCTGGCGTCGAAGCTGCTGCTGGCCTTGACCCTGACCATGACCATGACCATGACCATGACTCTGACTTTGGCTTTGGCTGGAGGGGGAGCTGTAGCTAAACTGCTGCCCACCGGGACCAGCATGTGTGGGGGAAACGGAGAGATTGCGTCGTGGCGGTTTCTTGGGTGGTCCGGCCGGGGCAAAGGTACTCATCTGCATGGGCTGCCCAATGCCGCCGGTGGAGCAGCGGGAACGAGGCGATACCGAAGCTGGCTCAAAGCTGCTAAGCGAAGATGAGGGGCTTACACTGTAGCCACCACCCATGTCACTAAAAAAAAGAAATAAGAACAATTAGACAAAGAATTTAAAGAAAAAATAGTTTAAATATTTATATTGTCAATACATACTTTTGACTGTGCAGCGGTGAGTGTGCGTTGAGGTCCTGGTAAAAGCGATCCTCCGGCTGCAGAGCACTATCCAGGGACTTTCCCCCATTATAGTGACCTCCATTTCCGGCACTCAGGCGCTGTTTGCTATATCCGGATTGCTGCATGGAGTGCGAGTGGTTCAGCAAGTGATTGTTGGAGTTGAAGTGATAGTGGTTGCTGTGGCTCTGTTGCTGCTGCGAGTGATGCTTGTTCTGGCCACGTGCCGAATTGGGCGGGCCAGAGTGCTGCCTGTAGATCACCTCATCGCCCTCATCGGTGTCCATTTGATTACGGAAGTCTGCGGGGGAATTATATCGATAAATAATTAAATTATTTAGATTTATGTTAAAATATATATTCAATCTTTAAAATATGAAAAACTAAGTTAAAATATTAAATTAAAACTGCACAATTGTAATCCCCACAAGTAAGAGTAATAAAGTGCGGTTAATCAACAGAAATAGAAAATAGGGAAATGTGTAATAAAAAGGATTGAATCATAAAGGAAACTAGTGTAAATTAATCATAGATTACGCATACGCACTGTTGATCACAGCCACAATATGTTTGGTGACATGCGGTGGAAATTCTCGCAGAATATCTAGAGCAGTGCGTCCCTCGTTGTCGGTGGCCGCCAGATCGATTCCGGCCTTCAAAAGTGTTCTCACCACGTTCTCCTTGCCACAGAGCGCTGCTTCGTGCAGAGCTGTGCCCGAGGGAGTCAGGAGATTGACACTGACCCCGGCGGATAATAGTACCTCGACGACGCTCTTGTGGCCATTACGACTGGCCAGGTGCAAACAGGTGTGTGGAAAAATGGTCCTGCAGGGCGAGGCCGGTGACGAGGGTGACGGTGTTCCCCGTTCCACTACCTCTGAGCCCAGGTGAGCTATTAATTCTGGATGGGCGCGGATTAGCATTTGAACCGCCTGCAAACGTCCATACTGGGCGGCCAAGTCCAGCGGTGTTTCGCCCTTGGAATTACGCATATTAGGGTCCGCATCATGGTTTAGGAGCAGAGCCAACGCCCCCGTGTGTCCATGCTGGGCGGCACAATGCAGTGGCGTCTCCTGCTCAATGGTCTGCAGGTTGGCGCTCGCCGGTCGATATGGATGCGTGAGAAGCAACCTCACAATCTCTGTCTCACCCGCCCAGGCAGCCAGGTGGAGTGGCGACGATCCCCGGGAGTCTGGCAGATTCGGTGAGGCCTCATGGGCCAGTAGAAGTCGCACAATCTCCTCGTGTCCATTGAGACAGGCATGGTGCAAGGCCGAGTAGCCGCCACTGTCCTGGACATTTACGCCAGTGCCGCGTCGTAAGCTGGCCAGAGGTCCTGCCCTCTTGGCCTTTTGGGTGAGAACCTTCTCGATGTGCGAGATGTTGCCATTGCGCGCAGCCTCCAGGAACTCCTGATCCTTGCCCATGGTGGAAAGAAGCTTAAAGCAAAAGAAAAATGAATTTTAATTTAATTGTTTGCCAGAGTTTATGATTGCTTTTAATACCCTAGACAGTGTTAAAATTATTATTGCTTTTCAAAATACATTATTTTATGAAGCCCTATCAAGTGTAGTCCTTTCTGGCCCTTAGCAAATTCTTTTTTCCCCGTTCGGTAATGGATTCCCATTAATGGACTTCCTTGCACTCCTAATCGCTGTACGACAAGCATCCAGAAAAGGATGGGGCTTGTCTGTCTGCCAGCCCTGAGTTGATTTGCTGCAAATGAATTATGACTGTCAAGTGTGCTTCATTAAAACGCCTTCGGCTTTGTGGCTTGCCTGGTCGCCTTTTCTCCTCTTAGCCCTAATGACTTTTAGCCCGTCTTTCCATTTAGGCCACCCTTACGCCCATTGCCACCCCTCGGCGCCAAGCTCTCAATCGGCAAGAGGGGGGTTTTGCCATTAAAAAAATTGCACAATAAGACAAGGAGGCAGGCAGGCTCTGGTGGGTTGAAAAGAAGGAGCGGTGCGAGGTGGAGCAGCGAAGGTGTCGAGAGGAGCTCTGGCCCTGATGAAGTGCTTTTCACGCGCTGGAATATCTTCGAGTATCTTTGATATTTCCCCAGGCACCGTGGAACTGACTTCTTAATAAAAATGGAAATTTGAACAGAAACTAAAGACAATAATATCTTGACTCATACATTTGTTATTATTATTGGAGTTACAGAAATGAGTTAATTACGAAATGAACACTCAAGTGTTTTCTTTTATTTATAAACCAATAATTATCATCAGTGAATAATTAACAATTTGTCGCCACATGTGAAATGTGATAACTTAAAAAAATCATACACTTGTTGAATGATCAGTTGGCTATGCAGTTTAGTGACTCATTTGGGATCCCCTTTTGGGCCCATGGTACCGACGACTTCAAGGGTTTTGAAATTCGGAATGATAACGCACGTTGCAGGCGTCTGGAAGCGTGCTGCCTGCCACATTTCAATGCTTCAATGAGATAAATACACGGCGGCAACAGATAATCACCTGCTTACACACACTCGCTCGCCGACGTTTTACAAACACCCACACACACTCGTACACTCATACACATCGTTTATGATACTACATGACATACTACAAAATCCGACAAAAGGTAGGTTAGGCACAGGCACATCCTTCGGAAGGAGTGAGCTTCAGGGAGAGAGAGACATAGAGCGAGCTGGTTCGCGAGAGAGTTGCAAGGAGTGCGCCTGCTCTGCCGCGCCCACCACCATTGGCCCCCGCTCCCGCCTTCACTCCTTAACCCCCAGAGTCCTTTCCCCAAACTACACGTCCACCCCTTAACCGCCAAGCTATTCATAATTTTTCGCTTGCAAAACTCTGAGGCGTGTCAGCAGTGAGGAAAGAAAAGAGGAGCGGAGCTTCGGGGGGCATCGCTGGGGATGCGTTTAGGCCAGGCCCAAAGAATGGCAACGGAAATTGAGGCACATTATAAACGGCTTGACACCAGAAACAACAACAAAAGCAGACGCCACATTGCCAATTGGCAGCAGAGATTGTGCAGTTCCTAACCCATAATTGGGTCAAAGGATGTTGACCCTAAGCCCAGGCTGGCCAAAAACGAGTGGGCTCCTGTGCATGCACGCCACTACCACTTTGTCCAACTACCATTTTGTCTGGCAAATCATTGCCCGTCTGGGGTTTCCCTTTTCAAAACGGGCCAGAATACGGGGTTCGCACATTTGTTATTGGCACTTTGCTTAGTGCACTTAAAAGGCGTGTACGTACATACGTGTACGTGTGAACTCCCATATATGTATGTATATACATATATAAATACACACAATCGCAGATACATTTTCTACAACAGCACAACTTTTCGCTTTTACCTTTTCGCTTAGTTTATTTGGGATGTGCTGAACGCTTCTCGACTTTATAAATATAGTACTTCCGTTGGTGGGCGGACTTTCTTCGTTGATTGAATAAATCTCATTGGGCTTCGCGGCGATTTATGTGGCATCTCGCTGGCGTTAACATCGCACATCTTCCCTGTCTGTCATCCAGCGCATTTTCCCACCGCACCGCTCGAGACCGCGACTCCGATTCAGATTCAGATTGAGATTCAGTTTGAGATTGAGTTTGGGGATTCCGTATCCGATTCCGCTTTTTCACTCCGACCGACGACGTCTCTCGCATGCGACTGACTGATGGATTTGGGGCCCCGGGGTCTGCGCTACTCGTAGTTCCGTAATAATTCCCGATACTCGTACTCGCACTCTCTCTCCGCCGTGCGCCGTGCACTTTGCTCTTGGGCCCTTGCTGGGCTGTGGGCTCTGTATCCGACGAAAGTTTTCTCCGATTTTGTCTCTGTTTACGACGAGCTTCAGTACAATACGTTTTGGCTTTGCTCGGCGCTTTCACTTGATTGTTTTGCTTCTCACAATGCGGGCGAGAGAGCGGAGAAAATTCGTGGAGAGAAGTGGGGAAAATGGGCAGGGAAAGAGAGTGCCGTCGAGAGAACAAGTACATTTTTGTTTGTTGTTTATCGGAACGATACGATAATACGCCTTTGTTTACGTATTTTCATGTGCGAAACTGACAGACGCACAGTCAGAAGAGGAGAGTATCTGCACGGAGAGAAATAATGGGGAGCAATGCACTCGGGTTTTTTGCTGAAGGCCATCGTACAAATTGAAAATGAAAAATACAATTTTTATTTAAATTTACTTGTTTTAAATTCCGGATATAAAACTAGTATTTTCCTATAAAAAAAACTATTTTATTCAATAAAAACAATATAATATTATTTGAGCAATTGTTTATTTATTTAAGTACCCTTGTTAAATAGTAATGTTAGTATTTTCTAAAAACAATTCTAGGACTATCTCATTTTTTAAAGAAAAATAAATATAATTTCTATAAAAAATATATATAAAATGAAACATTATTTTGCAGAAACATATAAGTCTCTTGTAGCGCAAAAATGATTGTAGATGTTTTTTTTTGTTTTGTTTTTTTCTTAATATTTTTGTTTATTTTTTATGTGTACACAACATCAAAATTTGTTTTCCCAATTGGAACATTGAATGTAATTGCAGCTTATTATTCTGTTAATTAATTCACCATTCAGAAGCCCAAGGCTAAAAGTCGAATATCAACCCATCTCATTATGAATAGACTAAATATTCATCTCTGTGTAACATTTCTCTCTCTCTGAAGAGCAAACTGAATTAAAAATAGTGGCAATCATTGTCCAAGAATGCTGCAAGGGAAACACGCCTTTGTTGCCAGGCGCATACCATATAACATAAATAAATAAGTATGCGTTCTATCTTTGAAATGCAGCGGATTGAGTTACCGATCGGCTCGATCAGGTGATTAATGATCCGTGCAAGGAATGCACCGACAAATAGGTGGGCTTGCATCTGGGTTATATCCCTCGCAGATCGTAGATCGCTGCGATTAGGGGTGTTTACACACGAGTAAACAGAACCGATTAGATAAGTGTGATAATGGGTTTATTAACATATATTTAAGCACTTGTTAAAAGAACTCAAACACTAAAGTTAATATTTATAAATTAGAGAAATTTATAATCAACGGAACTTAGAGATAATTGTAAAACAAATGTTGGTTATAAGAAGTCATATGTGAACTATTTTGTCTTGGCTGAAAAAGTGCAAATATTTTTCATTAACCTATTTTATTCACATTTATTAAATTTTTTATTTTATATAATAAGAGAATTCTTAGTTAAAAATAAAAAGTATTCATTATTGTTTGTGGCATGTAAAAACAACGAATGAAACACATTATTTAATTTGTTTGTCCCTAATTACAATGCTACAACTTTCCTATAATGAAATTTCAGTAGTTCCCATAGTTAGTTACTCATATTTTGCACTTCCCATAAAAGTTTCCAAATGAAATTTCTCACCTAGAGGCTTTCCCGGCAAACCAGCAAACTCGTAAAAAAAATAAAACAATTGAAACTACTCATGTACTAGGGTAAACAAAATATGAGTAAGTGTTTGGAGAGCCCTTTTTTCCACCTCTCACTTGTTGTTGTTACTGAGCTTTCGCAGCATTTTCTCTCTCTCTTTTATCACTTAACTCTCTCCCCACAAATATTACGCATGCGCCGTGTGGAGCTTTCTTATCACACTCTTGTTGTGGGCCAAAGCTTAGCGTGCGTATCACTGACCGAAGCTTGCCTCCCATCAGCTGTTTTTGATAAGACACCCATGTGCTTAACCCTTTGGTGACCGCTTTCCCAGCCAGGGTTGTGCAATGTAGGGAGACTGGGACTGGGACTGGAGACATGAGTTATGGTCCGCTCGACTTGACTGCCAACGTGACTCACTTGGTCAGCCCCAACCTCAGCGATTCCAACTCTATTTTGTGGGCGGACACATGCGGCGAGTTGTTGTTGTTGCCAAAAGCTGTTTCTCGTCGTTTCGCCTTTGCCATGTTGTGGCATGCCACATTCGCACACTGGCAAACAAATCGAGCCGCAAACAAATAAAATAGACAGACGGCCAACACCTACGACTGGTCGAACGACCCACCACCGCATGAGTTTTCATACTCAATTGCCGCAAATGCCACAAATATGTGTAATTGACTTGAAAATGCGCCAAGCAAATCAATCCGCACAGCGTCAGTCCGCCAGTTGTCCGTCCAGTGTCCATTTTCGACCTCAAGTGCAGCGCGTGAACTCATTCCCATTCCAGCAGAATGGCCAGCAGAGTGCGGCACGTTCCGTTCAGTTTACACTTGGAAAACATTTTACATAAGAGGTTTCTAATATATTTGTTTAAGCTGATGTATATTTACGTAATTTTTAATATTATTTTGTGTTTTTTCATGGATACATTTAAGGAAAAGACTTAAATTTGTAAAATAAACGTTTAGTCTAATTTTCTAATTCAACCGATATAGTTCGATATAGTTCTAACCCAAATGTGAAAGAATATTTCATTAATTTCATTAATGCTCTTCCAATTTTCGCACATTTTCTCTCCGTGTATATATCGGCTTAGGTCAGCACCGCTCGCTTGCTGTGTGATTGATGAATGTTGCATATTTTGGACGCCGTTGGCTGCCACCATTGTGTGGCATTAATGAGACACCGGCCATTTGTTTTGCCATTTATTCGCTGTTTGGCTGCCTGACAATGAAACCGAACTTCGGTTGCCTTACAAATTGTGAATTGTTCACGTGCGCACCTCTCCGTAACCCCCCTGGCCGAATGCATGTTGGTATATTATTTTCCTCGTTGTCGGCGATATAGTTCTAATTGTGGAAATCACAACGTTTTATGGTTATTGTAACACATCGACTTTGCAGCAATTAGAGGGGCGCATTATGTGGGCTTCGAAATGCGAATATTTTTGGATCTGGGATCTCGGATCTGGGGATTTAGTATCTGCGATAGAAGAGCAGAGTGCCGGGCTCCAGCGGAACTGTTTATTACCATAAATAATTGTCAACGCCAGCCGAGAAACGTCAACTGATATACTGTCATGTGCCCTGATCTCGGCATGGGTTCGGTTGTGGATTTGCCTGTAGATGTGGATGTGGATTTGGCCCGGTATTCATTTCAGTTAACTGCACACTTGAAAGGCCCAGAGCCGCCGATGACTACGCCGCACCCTGACGTCACTATTTCGGTGGGTGCAGCAGCGGCGGCAGCCACATCAACTGTAACAACTTATGACTCCGGGGCTGCGGAGTGGTATCTGCCCCGCATTGCTCATGATAAAGTCATTAGAATGTACGAGTTTTGTGCGATTTTGAGGCGTTAATGGTTTAGTTCCGCTGCATTGACTACGCGACTCGTTGTCGTTGTCGTTGGCGCTGTACGAACAACTTCCGCATAGAACAAATTGGTTGTAAATCGGGGATTAGGTATGCCCTAATAAAGCGCAACGCTCCTCCCACTGGCAATATCTTTATATGACTGAGGGAGGGGTCATTGGCTGCCCCCAGGTAATTTACCATTAACCTACGAATGTTTTTATTGGCCTTCACATGGTTTTACAACAAATTTGGCCTAATTGTTTCAACTATGAAATGTGGTATTGTTGGTTGTATTTCATATAATGGAATTAGTTTTAAGCTTCAAAAATCTTACTCTTTCCCTGTACTTTCAGTCCACTGTGCGCTTCTTCTGATTGGAAACTAATTTCGTTCTCACAGAACGTCAGCCCCAAAATGATGACGCTGAACCGACCTGAACTGAGGCGAACTGATTGAAGTGCGGCTCAAATTGAAAGATTGAGTGCCCGGCCAGTCTGCTTGTCTGTCTCTCTGTTGGCCAACTGTCCACAGACTTCTTTGGTAAGGGGCAGCCTCTGTGTCAGTCACTGGTGGCAGACAAAATGTTGCTAACGATGCTGCTGGCTCTTGGGCCAACTCCACTCGGGGCTATCTCGTGTCATTGTCGCACGACTCACGACGGTGATAAATAATCATCAGTCAGTCAGCGGAGCAGTCAAGTGCTCGCTGCCAGCCTTCTGGCTCCTTCTTTTTCTTTTCCTGGCCCAGGCCCTGCCTCTGCCTCTGCCTCTGCACTGCAATGTATGTGGCTCTAATTAAGCTTGGATGCAATTGCACGTACTTGTAATTGCATAAAGGGTAACGGTACGAGGAGTCCGAGGCCGTGCCCATCGATTTGGGATTACCAACCTTCTGGTTATTATCGCCACCGCCTGGCCATCGCCGTTTTTGGTAGCTTCGACTGATAGCACAGCTTGGCAATGACATTTCAATGCATTTATGATGGTTATCTTGGTCAGCAGAGCCCAACTGGGGATCTGGGGTTACACAGAGCGAAGAGCTGATCAAAATTATTAAAAATAAATAAAGTTTAAGTCGTATATAAGTAGCAATTAAGTATGAACATTAATTAGTTATTTGTTTCTTTTCAGAAGTATCAGTTATCTAAAGAAGCTTAGTGATCGATATATTACATTACAAATCCCCATGAAATTATTATAATTTCTTTCAGTGCAATAGCTAGTCTTAGATACCATGCCAATTGTCATGTGGCCAAATGGAGAAAGGGGGAGAGCTCTCTTTCGGTGCACTGATTTAGATAAATTGCGCACGTTTTCTAAGGCAGGGCCGGGACTTGAACGTTGTTGTTATCAAAACAACTTCATCAACAACTCATTGATCTCGC